TTTTTTCTCAGAGGCTAACTCCTGCTCAACAAATAACAGCGTTGCGCGTGAACTACAGTGTCAACTTACTTCACGCAAATTTCTAGATAAATGTACACAGTATTTGAAAAACATGAAAACGTATTTTTCACATACTTTCTACGTCCTATTTCAGTGTAGGTCCAATATTTTGTATATTCAATGACTTCGGTTAATGATAATTATCCTAAAATTATTATTAGCATTTCTATGCAGAATTGATTAAAGACTTTATTATTCGATAGGGGTTGATCAGTGTGCTTTAGGGAAGGCGCACTAGATTTTCCCGCACATTTCAATTTTTCATTGGATTCCGTTTGTTTTGAGAAGCGGCCTAAAAGCGCCTATTTCTAACATTGTCCTTTTGACATTAGTCACTTAACAAGCAACCCACGACCATCAACGTATTAGATACATAAGTGCTGCAAGGGAGGCTTGCGGCTCCCCCTGAGAATCCGGTTGAACTTTGAAATTTCACATGGTTTTGTATGCAAATACATATAAATAATATATAAATAAATTCTTACGGGCGCCCATGCACTTCGTGGTCCATGGAAACCCGGAATTAAACTTCCATTTTATAATGGTACACAGTCGACGCCACTGTCACCAATGTGGGGGAGATACACATCTCGATTTTTTCCACATAAGCAACAGCTCGTGACTGGTGGCAGATGTGCTTCTAAGATTTTCATACCAGAAATGTAGGTACTGCACTGGAAGGAGCCTACATCCTACATACGTGTATGCTGTGCATCTCGACTTCTATATTCGTTATGCTGTACCAAATACAAATTGAATGTACGTGTTCTAACTGTTCACGCCGAAGATGGAACGAAGGCGAAATTTTCCGACATATTAGGCACGAAGTAGATATTAATATACATATAAAACATAGAGAGCACGCGAGATATGTAGGACACACATTAAGGCCTTCTTGGATCAACACTTGAACACCTGAATCTCCCTTGATGTAATGCACTCATGTTTCAAAGAAGTTAACGGAGTTAACGGTCTGTTTCCAGAGACTTCTAGAAAGTGTTATTCAGCCACTGAGGACATATCATCAAACGGGGTAACTCGCAGAACTTCCCATAAACAGAGATGTGATTTATATAAGATACAAATACAGATATAGTCAACGCCAAACAAAGTGGCGTGCACGTCATCACGATAAAAATTCCCCGACCTAATGCCTAGGTTTCTATCACAAACAATTGCTCTATTGCAGTTTCATATTAATGTGATATATAAATTGTAAAATGGTCATTACTCTCTTATTATGGTTAATAGTCATATAAACATTGTTATTAAAATATCACATAAGTTGCTTTCTGATAAATTTAGACGCATTATGCGAAATAAAATGTTTTGCAAACGCTCCAATCACTTATCGACATCTAAACGCACTAAACCGATTTCGCAGCGTTGACACATTGTCACCTTGAAACTTATTTAAACTGGGAACTGACATTTGTATTAATTTTGACACTGAATCAATTTGTGGAATTTCAAATCTTTATAAATCCTTTGGCCCCGCATACTGTAAATCAACAACTGTTTGTTTCAAAACAAAATTATTCATTTTACGAGTAGATAAAGGCAATTTTGGTATATAAAGATGCCCAAACAGTTAAATAGTCGGTGTAAGGAACTCGTGGCCTCGTTAATGCACTACTTTGAGCAAGAAAGGGACAACAACGGGCCTTTGTTGCCTTTAAATGCTGTTCAAGAGGTAGGTTACTAATAATTATATGTAATGTATATTAATAATAGTGAAATTTTATTTCATTTTTTGTATATGTTGGTTCGTGTATAGTCAACGCCAAACAAAGTGGCGTGCACGTCATCAAGGTGGGTGTGTTGAAAAATTTACATTGTTGCCAAACTTTTTGTAAAATAATAAAATTTATTATTTACATATCTAGGTTTATAAGCAATATTAACCTCAAATGAGAACAAAAATAATAGTATAATAAAATTATAGATCTGTACTTGCATAATCATTAAGTATGACAATTATTGATCAGATGACACTATGAAACTACCATATTTAATTGATAGCTTAAAGGTACTGAATAAAAATCCAAATGGGGTCCTCCAAATTTTATGCATGGTATTTATTTTACAGAATTCATACAGAAAAATGCATTCTAAAATTAGGTAAGCTACTGGTGTAAGCTTTTTCTGTACAATAAAGTTAGTCGGAGTTTCTTTCTTCAGCGCTGTCTGAATCTGAATCTTCATCACTCTCAAAGTTGATTATTAAAGGTTCGATGTCTGGTCGATCAAAAATTCGTTCTCTTTCATACCATTTAAAAATTTCTTGCTCAGTATGTCGAACACTATTTTTCCACATGTCTGGGGTAACCGTTTGTAGAGCCTCGTTCCACATATCCAAACAGTCTTTTTCACTGTTACCATCTCTACCAATATGTCTGTTATAGTAACCTTTTGCTATGCCCCAAATTAACTCAATAGGGTTAAATATACAATGGTAAGGAGGCAGACGAAGAACTTGGTGCCCATGTTGTTCCGCCAATTCATCAATCACGTATATTTTAGGTGGTTTGTTTCTAAAAAAGCAGTTATTTTAAGAATAGGAATAAACAAAAGAAATATAAACTGTCGACGAAAATATATATAATTAAGAAGCATTATGTACCGAGCAACAATGCTCAATAGCTCTGTTTTAAACATTGTGTTTAAAAATGGTATGTTTTGATTTGTCAACCAGTCTTGGATATTTTTTTTGTCCATGCATTGTTGGGCACTTTGTTCAATATCATGCTGTGATAAGGGGCGTTATCCAGTATAATCATAGATGGACTCTCCAATTTTTCTAATAACTGATGTTGAAACCATTTCAAAAAATTGTCCTGGTTCATCTCTCCATGGTAATCGCTCAATTTTGTTTTCGAAGAAAATATCGCTTCACTACCCTCAATAAACCCATTTTCATTTCCAGCATGTAATATAATGTATCTAAAATATATTAGTTTTAAATTTTATAGTGCAAATTGTGTAAAAGTACATACCTTTTACCATCTGTTTTAATAGCTTTCACGCTTTTTTGGTTTCCATTTTGCCAAGAGCGACCTATGGTCCCATTTTGAAATATCCAAGTTTCATCGAGGAAGACAAACTGGTATAAGGCCTCAACCTTGGCTTGATTGTATTGCCTTAGAAATTCCACCCTTTTCAAAGCTATACTTGGTAGTTACATGAGCCCTCGTCGCGGATTGTCCTTAAGCCACTTAAATCCAAGATCTCTAAGCAACCGCCTTAAAGACGTGGCACTACCATCAAATAATGCCCTATCTCTTAATCGAGACCATAAAGTTTGTATCGTAACTTGTTCTTCTGAAACCATGTGTAATATGACATTATAATTTAGTTAACAAATTAATGCAAATTTCTGATAAGTTATTATAATAAGATCTTACTTTTGTGATACATATTATAGATCACTTCTCGAATGGCACTTGTATCCAATGTCGCTGTGTTGGTTACACGTTTAATATAACTCCGCTTTTTCTTGGGCGATTTTAAATTTGCATCACTTTTCACACCCTCGGAAATACGACTAACTGTCCTTAAACTAATTTTTAAAGCAGCAGCAACACGCTACAAAAAATGAAATAAAATTTCACTATTATTAATATACATTACATATAATTATTAGTAACCTACCTCTTGAACAGCATTTAAAGGCAACAAAGGCCCGTTGTTGTCCCTTTCTTGCTCAAAGTAGTGCATTAACGAGGCCACGAGTTCCTTACACCGACTATTTAACTGTTTGGGCATCTTTATATACCAAAATTGCCTTTATCTACTCGTAAAATGAATAATTTTGTTTTGAAACAAACAGTTGTTGATTTACAGTATGCGGGGCCAAAGGATTTATAAAGATTTGAAATTCCACAAATTGATTCAGTGTCAAAATTAATACAAATGTCAGTTCCCAGTTTAAATAAGTTTCAAGGTGACAATGTGTCAACGCTGCGAAATCGGTTTAGTGCGTTTACATGTCGATAAGTGATTGGAGCGTTTGCAAAACATTTTATTTCGCATAATGCGTCTAAATTTATCAGAAAGCAACTTATGTGATATTTTAATAACAATGTTTATATGACTATTAACCATAATAAGAGAGTAATGACCATTTTACAATTTATATATCACATTAATATGAAACTGCAATAGAGCAATTGTTTGTGATAGAAACCTAGGCATTAGGTCGGGGAATTTTTATCGTGATGACGTGCACGCCACTTTGTTTGGCGTTGACTATATGTGTTTTCATCTTGTATCTAAAGCACTTTCTTAAAATACATTTGGTGTCATGTATTTAGATACATTTTGTTTGGTATCTTATCTTTATAGTACTGTGTTTGCTAAAATACTCTTATAAAGTTAGTTACTTAGTATTTCGATAGTAATATGTTTGCCTAAATACTTGTAGTAATAGTTACGTATGCATTTTTTCGCATTTAATCATTTAGTGTTACCATAGAAACTAAACGCACCATTGAAACTTTAGAGCCAAATTGATGGATGGTGAATGTGTTTTTCAGGTTGAATAATTTTCTTGTACTATCAAAGCTGTCACCTAGTTGACAGTGATTGTGAGCAAAATGGATCTTAAAGGGTTTTTTACAATTTATTGAGAACAACGATGCAAGGCATTATCCTTGAGTCGGGCATATCACGAACTACGGTTCAAAATGGCGCGACAGAATAATTCGTAAATGAGTAGTGTACATAAATGTTCTATATAGTTAAGTTAAAGTTAGTTGTGTGGTGTTTTAAATAAGTTAGTGCATTTCTTTTTGTAGAATCCAGTGTTTTAATCCACACCCAAAAGAACTCAGAAAGACGCTACATTGGTGTCAGGTGTGTTCTGTGGATTATTGGACATTTAGTGAAAATAAATCGGACGATCAGTGAAGGAAGAATGGCGCGATTGGTTAATTTGCGACATGGCTGAAAAAAAGGCGGAGTTGCAAGAGCGGCTTCGTAATGCATTGATTGAGGAAGGCGAGGACCCGGATAATTTCATTTTTACCGGTGCAGGGGATATTGGTTTAGCGCTGCAAAACCTTTCGACCAAGTTAGAAAACAAGCTCATGGAAAATTGTGCCTATCTTTTAGAAAACTCCACCAAGTTAGAAAAAAGGCTCGTGGAAAATTGTGCCAACCTAGGAGGAAAGCTGGTGGAAAATTGCGACGATCTTTTAGAAAGCTCAGCCAAGTTAGAAAATAGGCTCGTGGAAAATTGTGCCAACCTAGAAGGTAAGCTCGCGGAAAATTGTGCCAACCGAGAAGGAAAACTCTTGGAGTTACACGAAAGAACAGTCAAGTTAGAAGCGAAGTTTTTGGAAAATACCACCAATTTAAAAAAATTACTGGAAGATAAAATTATGGAAAAATCTTGCGAGTTGGAAAAACAGATCTTAGAAGCTTTGCGAAGTGAGGCATCACACGGTGCCCCATTCTATTTAAAAAGCATTCCAAAATAGCGTCCAGCCGCCATCTTGAAGTTTTCAGATGCCTCTTTTACATTAAAATGTAGAATTTATGCGTCTACTTCATTACTTCAAATTCCTGCAGTCAGGGTTATTAAGTAAAAAAACTATATAATGTAAAAGTTATGATAAAACGTCAACTTGTTGACTAACTAGGCTATTGTGCAAATAGTTAATTCCGCGCTTGCTACAATTGAGCGTGAAGTGAACGACAGCTAGTTCCAAGTTGACGTCTTGTAGGAGATGTCAAGAATAAGCGACATAATGTCACTTTTCAAGATACGTAATGCCCCTGCTGTACAAAAAAAATAAATAGGGGGACCTTTTTGAAAAACACTGTATATGATAATAATTAGTATCCGACCGAAACTAGTATTTCAGCCAAAACCGAAATAGAAACTTCCAGCTGAGGAGTATGACATGGGAGTTTGGGAGGTAAGATAGTAGTATATTTCCAAGAAAAAACAAACTCAGTCTTTCAATTGATATTAGTAATAATAATAGCAGTTCAATAAAAATAAAAAGATAAACTCTATATGATATGTAATAATTAATATCTATCAAATATTATTAAGACTCAGGTGAAGAGAATTAAAACAGTACTTCATTTGTTTCTTAAAACACAAAATAAATTATGTACTTTTGTTTCTAAAAATTTGTAAAAAAAACAGAATGAAACAAAAGCAACAAATTATGGCCTGTGGTACCGATACTATTTAACGTTAGTTTAGACGGAAGCCTAGTTTAACTTGAAGATTTCTATTGCACACGTACTTAAATTCATGATTTTTTTTAAGTATAAAAAAGTTTTCAGATAGAGCTAGAGTCAAATTTACCCTGAAAGAATAATTAAAACAACCTTGCTTGTCATCTAAATAGAAGAATGCAAGAGAAAGGATGTTACATATATGATACAATATGCATCGCATTAAAAAATAATCATCAAGCTTAAGTTTGCACCTTTATTGGCCTTCCACTCGGGCCAATGCTCAGTCGCATCTGTTCTTACATCAAAAGGTTTCTTTTCTTCTAAAGCTCCTTGTATATCACTGCTTGATGGTCGCCCTCTTTTATTTGATCCCTTTCCAAATGTACACAGCGTTTAAGCGACAACAATCCTAAGAGTTTTTTGGTCCATTTTATTTATATTTTTGGCCAAGCAGACTGTTTAATAAAGAAGCCATGCGTTTACTATCTCAACATCGATTAAGCGATAAAATATTCTAAAATACCATTTTTTGGACCTAATTTTGATTTTGTGGCGCTCGATATGGCTGACAAACAGGTCTACTCCACCCATATGCTTGTTATACGAGTAGATTGTAACAACTTCGGGACGTCTTATTTCTATATATAATTCTTTATTTTTCCAATCAAGTCTTCGAACAGTCGTTTCTGGTTGCTGCCCTGAAAATATAGGCATTAGGTTTACAATTTTATTGTCTTTCCATGACATCTACACCATCAAGGTTCCCAACGAACTCAAGTGACTTTCCTCTGGGTCTTTGTTCTGTTGGTAGTTTGGAATTTGGAATTCCATTTCGTTTTACTGTCCCAAGTGGCAAAATGCGTTACTTGTGTAAGTAAGTCATAAGAAACAATGGCGTGAGTTAGTTATCAAAGGATATTTTATGCTGCTTATATTTTGGAATAATTCTCGCTAAACGAACTACAACATTTGAGCTAGCACCAAAATCTGGTTCATTTGTACGCCTTTTATTTGGATTGTTTTTTTGTCCAGTGTATATTTCAAAGACATAGGCATAAGCTCCACATAAAGAAAATAATTTGAACCCCCTTTATGTGGCTTATTTGCCATATATTGCGATACTTTTGGGTTATCCTTCTGTCCAGAATCTTCCAACTCGATGTCATCTTCACTTTCCAGAAGATTGTTTGCAATATCCAACAGTTCAGCATCGCTTTGATATTCCTGCCACCAGATTTAAAACGATCAATATCTAAATCCTCTGCCACAAAGTTCTTACGTAAATTACATAAACATGATCTACTTACACAGGTGAAGGTCCACAATAATTGTATTTGTTTATAAATAGGAAAGTGCCAGCCAAAAATGACTAAACGATTCGGTAATTGTAATAACGACTGAGTGCATGTGTTCTCTGTCATAAAATAAATCACACTAAATCAAAGAAAAAATAGAAACTCTGCTTTTGACCGTTTCAACCTTAGGTCCGTGTTGTTACACAAATGACACATTGTATAGTTGATAAAACTGCTGATAGACGGGGACACATGCTCCAAATAAGATATGATATGTTATGCACTTAAAGGTTGAACCCTGTTTAAAATTTTGTAACTGTGTTTGACTTGAACGTTTGGCTTTGGGAGTTTAAATATCATCTAATTCATGTTCAGTCTTCAACAATGGATTAGTTAGTAGCTTTAACATTTTTTAAGAAATTTGGTTTGTCCAGTTTTGAATATTTTGTCTGAAATTGAGTCTGAACTGGAATTTGTGAGTTATCTACCATCTTAATTACATAAAAAAATCGTTAGATTCTGTATTTTCACAAAACTCAAATTGATTGTTGGTGCATGAGGCCATTTTAACGTAATCTGATAATCATAATTGAAGTCTGATATGAATAACAATTTTTCAAATTCCCCTAGCAAATTTGAGCTTTGGTCTGAATAAATTTGCCACAGGGCACCCGAAAACATGCGAACGTAATTTCGGTGTCGAAACTCTGATTTTGGACCGAAACAAGCCGAAACCGAAGGTTCGGTCGTACACTGATGATAATTGCGAAATTTGGTGAATGCGCAATATGAACAGGTGCATCAAAAGAATAAAGTGAACTGGGTGCTGTGAAAAGAAAGTTTAAAATAATGCTCTTTCAGTCTACTGGTTTATCGATCTATCTACCTGTAGGCATCTTTTTTAATGCGTAATCTCAGCTACCGCCTCATCGACTTCGATGAAGTTTGGAGTGAAAATACATCTGTATTCAGGCTAACTAACGTATTCCCTCATACTATCTCTCAAGCTGTTTTTAGCTCAAATTGCCCTTCTTGGTCGTTTATGTATGACCATCCTCGCAAATAACTTGAAGAGCATAGCAAACATCGTACGCAAACATACGCGAAGAAGGTGTGACTGATAGCTAAACGTTCTTCAAACAAAGTGTGTATTACTGTACACATAAGGTTACTTTGTGGTAAAATATAAACGTCAACCGTTATATCAAAATGCATTGCCTTCAGGGGTCTGTATCTACGAATCCAAAAGATACCTCTAAAACCGTCACATGGCAAAATACTCGTATGTTAATCATAAAGTAGTCCAAAAAGCTCTGCTTGAATTTTAGCACCATGTTTTGAAACTTTTCTCTTAGAACCGCCCTCACCCTTTGATGAGTGGCCTGTATGCCAGGAAGCCGTGACTGAAAGCTCGACATTCTCATAACAAAGTTATATTAAAAATCCTGATTTTCTTGCTTATAAAAATCCTTGTTTTTCTGGCCGCTAGATGAAAGCACATGTGCAAGAATGGCTTTTTACTGATGTATGTTATATTTATCCACGGAACACCCCCTTAAGAACGAAAGGTCCGTGCACGGAGCCTATACAAGGTGTTTTCAAAGTTGAGTCATGCATTTCAACTGCTTGTAGGACTCATGAAGAGGAGTTGATATGTTACCGGTAATCTGTATAATAATTCAGGTATTCTATGCAATACCTAGGCAATGTATAGAATACCTGGGTTGCCCTGGCAATGTATGAAATATTATAAATATTATCCATGACAAACTTTACCTAGGTAATGACTACAAATCCTAGGGATTGTATAGAGTACCTGCTGTTCCACCGGCAATGTGTAAAATAAATTGATCTTGGTCTAAATTTAAGATACGGCATACCTATAAAATGACGAGAAAATGAAACAAGTTATATTACTTGAAATCAACTTCATTAAAACTAACACTTAAAGTGCTCCTTAAAAATAAACTTTATGAAAAGGGTACAAAAAAGCACCTTTCTGTTACTGCAGTAAAATCACAGTAAGATAAACGTGAATCTAAAAATTATTCTGGCTATAAGTAACATAATAATTATCTTTGCGTACAAGTACGTACATAATACTTATAAAAAACTTAGGAAATAAAACAGTTCTGCAAAAATATAGGCAGTGTAGGTCTACTGCTTAGTCAAAACTTTAATAGAATAAAAATAATATTCTTACATGTACTTAAGAAACAAAACAATCCTCTGAAAATAATAAGTAGGTTTACTAGCCTAGTCAAAATTTTAATTAAGTAACTGAAAAAATTATTAATTTTTACATGAGGAACTATTGTGACATTTTGAAGTGCATAACATCTTCCTTGTTCTCGTCTTTTACATATGTACATTACCGGCTGCGCATTCAGTATTGTACAGAATACCTAGGCAAAGTATAAAACAAATAATATTTCGTACATTGCCTACACGTTTTAGGTATTCTATACATTACCTAGGTATTTTATAGAATACCGGATTTTACAGATTTTCGGTAGCAGATATACCAAAAATCACCTATATAAAAGTTGCACAAAATAAAAGAAATAGTAAAAGATTGAAAATTTAAAAAAATAAGAATGTTATTACACAGATTTTTTGATAATTTCGACAACTGCCGTGTAAAGTCTTAGCGTTTTTTGTTTACTACTCTTATCGTTTATCTAAATTTGGCAAACTTTATGTGTTATTGTATGGTTTTCAGTACGAGTCTTTGGTCCGATCAGTCTTTTATTAGTACGTATACTTCCATTTTCCCGATTATTTTGTGCGAATGAATAGCCCTCGTTTACGAAAACAATGAAGTAGTGGA